TGTTGTGAAAAGAATCTTATTTAGTTGTACAAAGTACTTCAGCCAAAATTTGGGAGCCACGTAAGAGAATTATATATATTAGATCAGAAACACATCATTAAAAGGCAGAATGCTTTGGTGTTTTCAAAACAAAGCAAACGTTGCCACCGGCGGAAAAGAAATACAGCCAAAATTTGGGAGCCAAGTAAGAGAATTATATATAATAGACAATTATAATTCTTAATGAAATTAGTTATTACTTGTATTAAGTTATTGTTATTTCAACAAACATCAATAAAATTTGAGCGATTGTGATAGTACGCTCGTTATGCTTAAAGTAGGAGAGAAACCGAAAAGTAAGAAAGAAATAATTGCACAAGTAATTATGTCAGACAATATTCTTAGGCATGTTTACAATTTTTATCATGAGCTTGTCAAACTTCAAAATTTATTGTTGATGATGTCTAGTATGTTAAACTAAAATTATACGCACCCCACTTACTTAAATCTGTTTTTTTAATCCTAAATGTATGGAGTGTTATTTTGGATTAATTAAAATTTTCTGCATTAATATAATTAATTATTTATAAATTAATTTATTAATTAATTTTCAAGTTTGTTTCTTTTTTCTTTTTATCTTTTTTTGTGTGGTGATTCTCTCAAATATTTTTCTAGGAGGAACCCCAGACTAGTGTCACCATTGGAAATAACTGTAAAATTACTAAGGCATCGTATATTTGATTATTGGTCAGTTGTGTAGAGAAAAATGTTTCCATTTTCGGCAATATTTACATTATATCTTATTATGAACCAAAACTCATCAAATTTAGGAAGTGTCAGTTCGTGAGTACCCCTTGTTAGCATAAACAAGAGATAAGGATACGGAGAAGCGACAGATCCGAGAGACTGACAAACAGATCACATGTGTTAATCGTCACCCAAATCTCTTGTCGAATTCCAGGGACAGACAGTTACCAACGATAAATTTAGAGTCAGTTTCAAGGGACCAATAATATTTATTATTAGTCCTTTGGGACCAGAGTTACTTTGGGACAGTTTTCCCTTAAACTGTAAGGAAACTTCGCACTTATCTATTTTATAAGAAACATGCTAAAATTAGCTTTAAAGGTTTAATAACTAGAAATTAAATTTAGCATAATATTGTCCATATGTAAATTAATTATATCATGTAAATAGTACAAATTTTAAAATTCATTATGTGTTAAGAAAATATTATCTATTTTTTTTAAGAACTAGATTTTACAGCAGGCTATTTTTCGAAGTAATTTTAAACATTACAAGTTTTGAATTTTTGTATTTTTAGAAAAATATTAATAATATAACTCAGGTAAAAAAATTAAGCATATTGGACACTACATGGATTATTCTTTCTTTTTGGCATTTTTATTTTCAACAATAGTCTGATTCAGAGATTAATGTGGATTTCAATAATTAATAATTTTCATCAATAATTTATAAGGTGGGGAAAATCCAACAAAAAATTTCGAGACTGGATTTATTTTAATTCCTCAGTAATTTTTCAATTAATTTCGTGAATTTCAAAATTTAAGAATAAATTACTTTTGAAAATAGTGACTTGAGTATTAGTTATACTGTTTCTACCATAAATGAATTTTCGCTGTTAAATTCTGTTGTCGCAAAAACTCTCTATTGTCACAGTCACTTATTTTCATACTCTTTAATTTTAATACATTACATCCACCTATATTTATAGCAACACCTATATGTGTGAGATATTGCAATAATTTTTATTATTTTTTGTAAAATTTTCCAAAAGTTGAGAAACATTAAAAAGCTCGAATTTCAAATTTAGACATTTAATTCAAGGAAGAGTTACTTCAAAATATTGAGTAAAATAATATTTAATGCTATTATAGTTGATATATAAATTGTGATCAGTTATATAAAAAATAGTTTCAGAAAATCAGTTTTCAAAAAATAGAAAACAATTTTTTAAGTTTAAAGAATATTTTATTTCTCTTAATGAAAGATTTAAATGAAAATGTTTTAATTATGGTTTAGTTTTAAAAATATCAGTAAATTTATCCAAATATTTTTCTTAAGAATATAGTTGAAACTCCAAAAACGAACTTTTACTTAATTCGCACAAGTGTATCATACTTAAAAAAAATAATTAATGGGAAATCACCCATTCCCATAAGAACGCCTTTCATCTTTGTAACTTTCATCGACTCACAGATTGAATGCTGGACATAGCAGAGTCCTTAATCACTGTTATCAGTTACATAATTAAAGAAATATGATTATTAAGAGATTTAAAAAATTATGAGTAAAGAAAGCGATTACTTGATGTAAAAACTCCTCCTTTAGGATGTTTTATCTGCTTATTCTCCCCCCCTCCCTTGTCATTTAATAATCACAAGTCATAGTTATCTCAAGTTATCTTTAAATTTAGAAGAAAAGAATTAAAAGTTATTTCGTTACAAAATGCAAATTCCTTATATACATATTTTATATTATAATATGATATCATTTTTATATCTCTTATTGTGAGGTAGCTCTGATTATTGTATCATATCAACTAGAATTGTACCGGCACTTTCTCGATGATGATTAATAACTAATCAGGAAAAAAATATGACCCTGAATCATACATGATATTGGTTTTTTTTTAAAGAAAAAAGAATAGATATGTGAAACTTAAATAAAATTTTATCTCATAAGGAACGAAGTCGATTCTGATTGGATGATGCTAGTACCCTACTCCAGTCTCAGACTTACGTTGTGATAAGAAGCGGGGGACTCGTATATAAACACTTCTCCTTGGCTTTTTACTTCCCGCCGTCTCATTGCCAGATTAAGATTTTATTTGAAGCTTTTTGTCAAACGATAATTCTAATTTCCAAAATGGCCGATATCCAAGGAAGCTTCAAGTTGGTCTCCAGTGAAAATTTTGGAGAATTTTTGAAGGAAATTGGTAATTTTTAATTCTAAATTTTTTATTATTTTTTAATTTCGTTTTTCACTTAAGTTTTTATTCCTTTTTTTTATTTAATTCTTTTAACTCCAAAAATTTATACCAAAAGTAATTCTGAAGGAAATGAAAATAAATTTTAAAAAAAATATTTTTAGTTATTGTAAAACATAAATTTCAATATTTTACATATACTTTCCGAAACTATTAAATGGAAGCTCCACGTTCACTTGAAATATTTCAATAAAGCCAGATGTGCCATCCATTTCATTATTATTTTTCTTTTATACTTAATAATTAAAACTTCTAGAACTATAACCAAGAACTATTCAATAATTATTTTAAATATTTTTTGAATATAGGTTAATTAATACAAAAAATAACATAAGCAGAGATTACTCATTCTATTCTGAGAGTTCAAATTACAACTCCAAAAATTTTCTATTTTTTGGAGCTGAAAGAGATTTTTGTTGTTAAATTCTTTAATGAAGATGATTAAAGAGTTTAAGGTCTCACATTGTTACATAGAACATATTTATTATTTTGCACATATAAATACAAGCAAAAGAATGCAATTTTTCCGATTATATAAATAAATATAATATTAGTACAAATGATTCATACAAGTAAAAATTATTTTTACCAATAAAATTCCTTCTCAAACGCGATCAACTCTCGTAAAGCAAAACAAAAAAAAATTTTCGAAAAATAATTTTGCCCAACTGAAAAATATTTTAAAATTTAATATATTAATTTCACAACTTTTCATTCGCCAAATATAAATGCTTTCATTAAAAAAATAAAAATAAAAATAATTAAACAAATGTAAATAACAAGTTTTAAAATTTTCCAAATAAAATTTTTAAAATCTGAAATAAAAAAAGAACAAAATAAAAATGTTTATAGCCCAACTTATATTTATCTAAATTTATTTAAATGATTTTTTATGATAACTATGAAAGTTATTCAGTATCGTCATCAATTTTTTTACGAGAAGTATTGAAATATATCCTAACATATATTTATGGCATAAACATGTATAAATATTTTACAAAACAGATACTACTTAGTTAAACTAAAAATGAACTTATACGGAGTTAAAACAAAAAAAAATTATATGATGATGTTTTTTTTTAAAATTAAATTTCTTTTTTACTCGTTAGTTAAAGTAGAAATAAAAAAAATTTTGTCCCTAGCTTTACTTGCATTAACGTTACAGTTATATATTTTTATGCTTATATTTATTTTTGTACTTACAAAAAAGTAGGATTATTTAAATAATGTGTTTATAAACATACAGAAAGCATTTGAACTAAAAATTTAATGGTTCAATTATTCAATGGTAAAATTGATATACAGTGGTAAAATTGATTCTATATTAAGTTGTTAATTTTTTAGTTCTTATCAGCAGTAATCAAAATATTTTATCGGTAGCCATAACATATTATAAAATGCTCTTGATTTTAGGAAATTTAAAATTTTTATTTAAATTTAAAAAATTTGAAGATGCTTTTAACTCAATTTACAAAATTATTAATTATTATGTTACATGTTAAATTACTGATTTTAGTTTTTCAATTTTTATCAAAATTACGGCAAAAAAACATTAAAAATTATCACTATTCTACTTCTATTTTATTTATTTTAATTGTTTCTGAAATAATTGAACAAAAGCTTTTTTGAATTATAATTCAAAATATGAATTTATCGATTAAGTTAAAATACTTTATTATAGTTGAATATATTTATTTAATGTGACAGTTAGGAATTATTATATGTTTGTACTTCGACGAAAATAATCCTTATAATAGCTCCTTGTTAATATAAATCCTTATAAACTCAATAAATTAATTGATACCTAATATTAAATATATATCTGTACATCATTTAGTTCCCTCGATGTTGCAGAACTGCATTCTAGGTAATAATATAATAAGTTTAATTAAATAAATAAATAAAGGAACAGAAAATCGTCAATAAAATTTGAAATATATTTTAAATATTGCTTCATGGAGAGAAAAAATTTGGTAAAATTACTATACTCTATTATAAAGATATTTCTGATTAAAAAAAAAATCATAATTCTGGTAATAAAACCCAAGTATCATTAAATTATTCATATGGTAATAACTTACCGGAAATTTTAGTTTCCAAAATCATAGATATTATTATCACACATTTAGTAAATATACAAAGCTGAAAAATGAATTAAACCAAATACATGGCTTTCATGTCATGTCCTAGGGCAGCGGTTCCCAATTTTTTACGGCTACGGAACCCTAAATGATCAAGCTTTTTATAGCAGAACCCCAAATACATAAATAAAATTAATTAGAAGCATAAAACGCATTAAACAGAGATAGAAAACTAATTACTTTGATAATATTTAATTTGAAATTTTATGCAATAATCGTTTTATCAATAAAAATCTTAAAATAACAGGTTTTATGTCGAATAATAATTGAATACGCAGACCTGAATTGGTATTTACTTCTTAATATATTTTTGGTATAAACATTTGCTGAAAATTAATAAAATTATCTAAATTAAAAATAATAATATTAATAATAAATAAAAACTTTTGTAAACGTTGATACATTATTCGTTTTTCTTGAATATGGACATTTTATTCTGAATTGAAAGTTTAAATTTTTTTTTTTTTTGCTGGAATTCTACTTAATTAATTTTTTTAAAACAACCAAAATATCAAATAAATTATTTTTCACAGCTTAGATTTAAATATAATTCCAGATTTTAAGAATTTAAATTCTCGGATTCCCTACAGCCTTTCTACGTAACCTTGGAATTCCGGGGAAGACGATTTAGGAACAGCTGCTTTAAGATATGAAAAAATTACCACATTTCGCCACAATTACCAAATTTTAACTCTTGTTAAAAAAAACTACATCATTGTTAATTCTACCCAAATCATTGCCAAAGTGCTTAGGTAAAAATTACCGCGCTTTTTCGTGTTCTCAGATTTAGAAACACTGTAAAATTTACCATTTTCTGGTAATTTTGATCGATTTTTTTTCTCAGAGTTACTGTAAAAAAGTCACTCTAAGACAATCAAAGCCACTTTTTAAATAAAAACGAGAGACAGTCTGTTAATTACAATTTGCTTTGCTAATATTTTAAAAAAAAATTGACATTTAGAGAATATCACGGGGTAAAATTATCGCGACTTTTAATTGGCTTCAATGGAAGCTTCAAAATGACTTCTAAAAGAAGATTATTTTTTAGATTTTTAGATATTTGTTATCAACCGCAAATTCAGGCTAGTATTTCTACATTTATTGCTTTATGGTAAGAATTTCGTTAAGGCAACTGAAAAGCAATTAAAACACATTGAGATTAAAAACAATAGACATAGCATCGAGGAATAGTAAATTTGATAAAAGAAGACCAACCGGACTGTGTTGTGGTCAGGGAGCTGACCTCAGAAAGGTCCTGGGTTCGACAAGGATGTTCTTTCCTTCTCTGTACTATCAGTTCTAACTGTCGGAGCAATGATTCGACGAGTGTCAATCGGGTGGGCATGGGGGGGGAATAACACACAAACATGCAAACGAAATTAATTGTAAAACAAAATAAAAAATATAAATAAAAATGTTTTTTTTTTACTGGAGAACTATATGCGTCTATACAAACTTATATAAATTAAAAATTTTAAAAACCAATTGGAGCAAAAATTACTCGATGTATAAGGATAAAATGGTAGATAATTTGATAAAAAAAAATTTTTTTGGACGTGAAAATCAGACAATATAAAAATTGCAAAAGGTTTTCATAAAAATAATCTATTATATCTAGAAAAAAACAGTAAAATAATGCCTATAAAACATTCAACAGTTTCTACAGGAAAGATATTATACTGAGACAATCACTATGTAGACATCAGAAAGAAATATTAAAACAGTTGTATTTATAACTTAGAAACCTGAATAGCCAGTTCATTTATCAGATTTAAATTGAATCCATAGACATGTTGTTAAATTCCAAATATAAATTTTTTGTATCAAAATTCCACTTAACAATGACATTATATATATTACGACATCATATTTATGACAATATTCGTATATGAGTAGAATGCTCTCTAGTACAAAATAATGGAATATGTAATAAATTTTATTATATATTGAATATATGAGATACGAAATATGAGAATATGAAAATGAAATATGAGGAATTGAACTATTTCTGAATATAGCTTTTTTTTTTATAAAACAAAACAAATTTTGTAATTTTATTGTATGCAAAGCTTTGTAGATGTAGTAGTTTTGAAGGGTCCTAGTTGTTTAGTAAATTATTTTAAAAGTAAACACCTTCAATACGGTATTTTTTTATTCGCGGCAGTGGTTATTATTTAGATATTACGTTTACAACTTTACTTTTTCTAACATTTAACGAAAAAGATAGACATGGAGAATTTTTAAACAGAAAGAATCTTACCTTTATAGTATTCGAGAATTCCGATTTCTTTTTAAATAACAATTTGAAGCAATTTTTTCCACCTGAAGACAAACGTATTGGACAAATTTGGATTTCTCTTTCTTGACAATGTTGTGCATCGTTACTGAAACCAGTATTTACTAAAAGCTAGTTTTTGCCATGTTTTATTATAACTAAAAGTAATAAGAACAAAAACAATGGAGCGCGAACGAAGCCTAACAATCATTACTTTTCCAAAATCGTTACTTTTTATTTGAATAAAACTTAAAGGTAGAAAACGATAATTTATGCCTTCCAGAAATATAACTGCTGAGAGAATCTTTTTTTTTTTTAAAAAGCAAACGATTTTTATTTTCAATTTTAAAATCACCCAATAAATGTTTTAACAAACTCCTGGTTATTAACTTAAACGTGTATTTTTGATCCCTTTTAGTAAATGGCACACTTTCCTTCATCTCTGAAGATTTTAATTTGTAATTATAATTATTTAGTAATCAGGGTTTTTGTTATAACCGTGAACGGAACGGATTCCCAGTGACGTCATTATA